TGGGGAATTCTGGGAGTTGGTGTCCACACATCTGAAAGCTGCCAAGGTTGAGAAACACTGCACTATAGCAATTCTCAGCAGAATGTCTGTGGCTTTGCATGATGTATGGATCCAATATGGTTTGTTTATTTGTGGAAGAAATTTCCGGAAGACCCTCAAAACGTGGATGTGTCACTGGGCTTGGGGATCCCAAGGAAGTGTGGAGCCTGTTACATGGTTGCACTGTGTGTAAGTTTAGCCTGCCCTCCCCCTTGCCTTTTGGTTATTCTACTTTTCTGTAGTTTTAACTGTTTTTAATTGGTTTTAATAATGGTAGGTGGTAATTGTGACACCGTCCAGAGTCACATGCAAGTGAGATGAGTGGCCATGTAAATTTAATAAATAAGTAAATAAAATATGATATGGAATCCAGCCACTGTATTTAATAAACCATGAATTATGGCTTAGCATTATGAGCAAATTCAGTCATAACTGCAGTAATTCAACAAACCATCCTCAAAATAACTAATAGACTACTGTCATGTGTGAATAATGTGGTAGTAGATTAGCTTTTATTTAGCATAATGCCACTGCAATTTTTAAACTATAGTTTATGACAGTATGGTGTGTGAGACCAAACAATGTGGTTTATTCAACAAAGTTTAATTAACAAAATGGTTTTTTGTGATGTGTGAACCTAACCAGTATTTCTAGAACTGAAACACAAAAGATCAGGTTCATCCTAGGATATGTGCCACCTTCCATTATTCCATCCTATCACTTCTTCCTCCAAAGTCCCGAACTGCTGAATCCCTTTTCCTTCAGATATCAACATCTGAACTTTCCTTTGCTCTCATTCAACAGCATGTAGCTCCTACTCTCATATGAGGTTTGTTGCAGAAAAATCAACCTTTCATCTTTGTCCCAGAGCATTCACTGTTGCTAACCTTCTGTTTTATCCTGAGCAGTTAAGACATTAGTAAGTGTTCCCTGGTCTCAGGGTAGCTCAACCAATGGGAAAGACTTAAAAAAAGGTTCCCACATTTAAAAATAGGCCACTGGCAATAATTGAAAATATAAGATTGCTTCGGAAGAAACAGAGCTTCCATTGTGACATCACAGTGCATGTTTCATCATTTTGGTGTCACTGTAATTAACTGTGGGTGCCTAGGCCAGTGCTATCCAATGAGAGCACTAGGAAGACAATGGTGGAAGGTCTGTTCTCCTCAGGATTCAGTTGTTGCTATTGATTTCTGTATGGTATTCTCAATTTTACATGTTTTAAACATGAGTTGGGTAGCAGACAAGCTGTGAAGCAGAACCATCCAGTGGTCTCACATCACTGAGGTTTTTGGATGACTCAGCTTGTGGTCAACGTATCCTATAGTTGAACCTGGTCTACAAATATTGCAGGATATGGTAGAATAGATGGAATTAGTTGAAGCACCAAATTCCACTTTTGATGGCTTCTTGTGTAAATAATCTCTAGGAAGAAATGATAAACAAAATGTTCTGCCATAGCCTGTTCTCTGCTGACCTTCCACCTGCAGGGAGATCTTCCCACCAGACAGCATTCAGAAATGAGATTGCACTCTTGTTGCTGCAGCCTAAGAGGCTTTTCTGCTACTCAAAATTCAGCCAATTCTGGTGCCGTGGCTGGACCGGCCTATAATTGGTACGACTCAAGCAGCATTGTAACTGCAAAGGTGGAAGATGCACAGGAATGCAGAATGCACCAAACAGTTGCACGGTAACACCTGAAATCTCCCACAGTGCATATCTCTGCATGCGGAGCGGCAAACTCACCTCGTGAGCTAACATCTTATACAGCTCTTCTTTCGTCACTGTCAGCCTCTCACGATCCGTGCTATCGATCACAAGGATGACAAACTGATCAGAAGTAAAAAGAACCACACTTATGAGCTACCTAAGCAACAGAAATCAAGACTAAGTGAGAAGAACTGAAACACTGGCTGAGTTCATACCATGCACTAAAGGCATATTGTGGCTTGCTCAGCTGCGGCAATATCTTGCAGAAATTGTGATTTGTAAACCACGCTGGTGGTACAGCATATTGGGTGAGCTAAGCAATTGTATCTTACTCAGTGAGCCCATTTCTGTATCACCGAAGTCAGCAGGGTGAGCACCATCTTATGGTTTTTCGTGATGCTGCAGATATACAGAAATGTTACAAGTCAGTTAGTGCCCACAGCTACACACTGCTGATTTCCACGGTGTCTAAACAAATCCTCTACCTCCCAATTTCCAACATGGGGACAGTAATGCCTTAGTACTTTACAAGATGTGTACATATTGTAATATAGCATACGTTATGCCTGGCTCACTTGTAAGCAAGGTACAAATTGCCCTACAATTATTTTGTTTCAAATTAACACTCAAGTGAAACCTCAGAGATCAAAATATCTGATGTGGAAGGGTGTCTGTGCTAAACCAGGGTTCATTATTTTGTACAACTACCAAGCTGTAGTTGCATAACTACTCAGTTTAGTTTTGCACAAATACTAAGCCGAGTTGCTCTGCAGTGAGATGGGCAGTGACAAATTTGAAAAATAAACAAACAAACAAATAAATAGATACATGCTTTTATTCTAGCAATAGCAGAATTCAATGATCAAAATACACTCCTAACATCGAAATGTAATTCATGCAAGCTAGAGAATAAAACAATTTCAGGGCATTTCTGCAGAGGGAAGGAGACTCTACTGAAAGAGGCATGGATTTCTCTAAGACATCTTCCCCATGAGGATTTTAAAAAAGAGATTCAAAATGTAGGAATAGATTCCTATCTGGTGGATGGCATGCCTTGTTTTGTTGACGTGCTGTCTGGAAATAGAGGAGGGGGGAAGAGAAGGAAAACACATTCCATATCTGAAAATGTCAAGAATACAGTTTTGGCATACGAAAGGATGAGTCTCAACTTGCCTTTGTTCTACCAAAACAGAAACTATGACACAGCCAAGACTCACAGTAATTCCCATCCTCAACAAATTGCATACCTGAGCAATAATTTTGCATGGAATAGCATAATGCCAATATACTAGAAGGAGTGGAGTGACAGAAAACAGCTATCTAGAGTAGACCAAACATATGATCAAAGAGGCATCCAGAACTCCCCTCAAGACGGTGCCACTGAAATTCAGTGGCAAATTTCAGATTGTCAGCTGCCTGCTTTTCATATTATTTGAAAATAAGTGTGAGAATAGGCGCATGGAACTTCCTTTTATATCAAGACAACGTGTGCCAACCACCTTTGGAAGCTGAAAAATTCCTGTTAAAATGTGTGTCCCCTGAACACAAAAACATTGCTTAGGAAGCTACTTGAACAATCTTTCTCAACAACATAATTCCTTGCTAGCTTTCACCAATGTGTTACCTCTAGATCTCCTGAACCTCAGCTCCTATCATTGGCCAGAGAGCTCCAGCCAGAATGCTCCAGCCCTCCCCAATCAAGGCTGCTTACTGGCTACGGGCATCCACAGGGGTTGGGGAAGTGGGAAATTGGGTTGACATACTGTAGCTACTTCACAACTCAAACTCCATCCCTTTTGCGCTTGCAGTGCAAATCCCAATGCACGTGTCATCATTTCATCTATAACTTGGCTTCCTGCAGGTGTTTCTGTGACTAGCCACTAAAAAAGGCTTATTTCTCACAAACAACAGGTAGTGGCTGGGTTCACATATTACCCTAAGCCATGGTTTGTTGAATAAGCCACAGGGGCTCAGTCAACATATCATTAAGCCACAAATAATAATTTACAAGCCACAATGGTTGAGTTTTATATTATTTATTTATTTAATCAATATGTACATCCACCTATCTCAAAAAGGACCTCTGGGTGGCGAACAATATCAAGTTTACAAATTGCATGAAGCCAGAACTAAACAAACCACGTCATGGTGTTGTATAACATGCCGCTACACAATCTGCAACCCATATATTCCAGAATTACCACACAGTTTGGGGACTTATTTTTCTGAACCCTAGTGGTGTTTTCTCAGCTTTCCCTAAGCCAGTGTTTCTCAACCTTGCCAACTTTAAGAGGTGTGGACTTCAACTCCAGAACTCCCCAGCCAGTATGCTGGGGAAGTCCACACCTCTTAAAGTTGACAAGGCTGAAAAACACTGCTCTAAGCTGAGGTCTTTCAAGTTTCTTGGACTTTGCTTCTGATAGGGACTTACAAGGGGGACTTACATAGCCACAAGCCTTTTGACATTCCAGTAATGATAATACCGGCTGATCTTAAGAGGTTTTTTGTAAGCATTACATCCACATAACAAACTTGATCCAGGCTTAATCATGTCTTATTATGAGTTCAGATTTAACCTAAATGAAGCAGTACTTGAGAGTAGTATATCAGTTATAAATATTTATGATTATGGGGTGTAAGTTCTTTTTTTAAAAAAACCCTGCCCATCATAGGCTGCATTCACATGATGTGCTAAGCCATAATGTCATTTGTTTGTTTTAGCTTAGCATAAAGTGTGAATGTATCCATTGTTATGTATAAACCTTAGCTAATGATTTATTATGGTTTATTCAAAAATAGGTCTTGCATTGCAAAGCAAAAATATTGCTTGCTTAGCTATAACTACACAGCAAATGAAAATACTATGCAATACAAGAAAACAAATAATGTTTTAGTGCAATGTTCAAATCCAGTCCACATATAGGGCTTATGCTTATACAAACTTGTATTCCCAAGAGGTATTGTCCAAATATAACTTTACAACCTTATGTGCTGCTTATGAAGCTAAGTGTAAAGAGGAAAAAAAACTGTGGATGTAAAGATGGGCATTTCTGAAACAGCATCTCCTGTACAAAGACAAAGCAGCTAAAAGTGAACTTTACATACATAATGAACATGTTTATCTTTTCTAGTGCAGACTTCTGCCCCCGTCTATGGATAAATACAGCCTGCATCTGGATAACTCTACAGCCTGAATCCCATACTTGGGACATACAGTCCCATATCACTAACCAGTGACCAAGGAACAGGTGTGCTTCTCCCATTCTTGTGATGCATGTAGATGATGGAAATATTCTAAGTGAGGGGCTCCAGAAATACTAGTCTTCTGGATCATCAGCCTTCCCACTCTTCAATATCTATTTTAATTTCTTATACTTATTTACTACACCCAACTCACCTCTGTGTTGGAATAGTAGGTGTTCCAAGTAGACCGCATATTTTCCTGCCCACCAATGTCCCACATCAGGAAATGTGTCTTGTGCAGGATGATTTCTTCCACGTTGCTTCCAATTGTAGGTGAGGTATGCACGACTTCATTCATTAGGCTGATGGAAGACCAAAACTGTAAGCTGCTTTGTAGCGTCCCAACCTCCCCATACACTTTTATCTTCCAAATAAACCAAGGTGTTTTGAGTCAGTTAAGCTTACTTTTCCATCCAATTTCCTAATCCATGTTCCACAGGATTGGGAAGTATGGGAAAAATTACTGAAAAAACTGCACACAGGGACTGGTATACTAATCTTGATTCTTGTTTTGGGGATAATAAGAAACAGAAGACCAGATTTGCCATAAATCTCTTGAATAGCAGCTGAAACAAGCATTCCATGGCCCCTCTCCATCCTTTCAGAGCACCCAAAATATCTTGTTCCATATTAATTCTATCATTATCATTATTTTGTTGGTCACACAGCTAGTTGTTTGGACTGGATTCGACATTTTTATCCACCTATTGAGTCCTTACCAAGGACCTAGGATAGGCAGATGTTGTTTGATGATGTTAAAGGTATCGCAGGATGTAAGCTGTTATTATTATTATTATACTTAAAAAGGCAAAAGGTAGGTCTTCACTTTTCCTGGATTGTTTTCCCCAAAATTGAGAAATGTAGTTATAAATGAATATATTTCATACATGATTGATGGATGTATCCTAAAGGCAAGATGTGTGTAAAACAGACACTCACTGAAACCCAACAAATACTTTAAGAACTTGAGTTATCTCCTAGACTACTGTATTACAAAAGAGCCACAATTTAGTTGTAACATGCAAGGTATGTTCTAGTGCAGTGTTTTTCAAACTTGGAAACTTTAAGATGTGTAGACTTCAACTCCACACATCTTACAGTTGCCCAGTTTGAAAAGCACGGTTCTAGTGTATAAATCCAACTATAGATTAAAGCAAGGCAGTCAATCTTTTTGTGGCCTCAGTCACCCACTTTTTAAAATTATTTTTCCAACTGCTGAGAACTTCAGGGAAGGGATATGCAGTAGTGATACAGTGATGTCACTAGAGAAACAGAGGTGGATGTTTCTTAACTTTGGGGCTTCCAATTTCATTTCTTATAGATTCCCTGTTAAGTTTGTTGTGCTCTCATAATTTAGAGGTTTGCCACAACATTTTGATGGCTTGGCTTTGGGAAGTTTAGGAACTGCAACAAAAAAAAAAGTTGAAATTATATGCAGCTCACAGGAT